CACTTTTACTCTCCACGGAGCCGGGGGCTTGGTGGGGCTGGAGAAAGGGGGGGGGGTCTGGGTGGGTGCGAGGGTGTCTGAGGGGCAGACCAAGCCGGGGAGGGGAAGGGGGGCAGCGCGGCACGCACTGGCTTGCTGCTAGTCCCCCCCACACAATCCAGGCAGATCAATAGTGGCGCGAGGCCGGAAGGCGGCGTCGGGGGGCGAGGCGAGGCCGGGCGGGGCGAGGCGGAGCGGCGTGGCGGGGTGACCGGGCGCCGTGTCCCGCGTCCCGCCAAGCCACCCCATGTCGCGAGGCAGGCGTATCATAACAAGGCGACAGATATAGACAAAGGGAAAGGACAGCGAAAGGAAGCGCGCCGTGCGAGTCAAGGCCGCTAAACGGGGCGGGGCGGGGCCTGGAGGGCTATGCTCTGAGTCACGCGGGGGCGGACACGACACGACGCCGGCGGCCGTCTGGCGCCTTGCTCGCCCCCCGCCGCCCCCGCTATAACCCGGCATTAGGCCGGGCCGCTCAATACGCGACAGGACCACCAAACACCGGGCCAGGCTCGTGAGCTCGGCGCGTCCTGTCGCGGGGGGGAAAGGGGAAAGAGAAAGGGGAGGGGGGGGGGCTAAAAGTCGAATCGAAATGCAGTGGCCGCCCGCGCGTGCCGATATGTGTATTTTAGTGAGCGGTGTCACCCCGCGGCGGCCCGCGGCGGCCACGTGCTCCACAATGCACGAGCACTATTGACTCGCGACCCATTCGGCGGGGCAGTGCGCGGCGAGGCGGGGCAGGGCGGGGCGGTGTGTCCCCCGGCTGCTCCCCAGCCGTCCCGTCCGCAAACAGTGGGGCCCTGCCGGCCCCTGTCCGGTCCCTACCACACAAACAACACAAAACGTTGGGAGGGGGGGGGGTGCAGTGGGGGCAGACGATCGGTCGACTGTCGGGAGGGAGGCATCGTTGGGCGCCGCGGGGGCGGGACATCCGACGAGGCGACACGACACACTGCGGCGGGGCGGCGGGACGGGTGGGTTCATTTTAAAAACAAGATGATCAGAGGCGCTCCAATCGCACTGAAGCCGCCCGCCGCCGCCGCCTTTATCAACAGTGAAGTGGCGAGTGGCGTGGCGTGGCGAGGCGGCCGCCATGGGCGGGGCGCGCCTGTGAAAGACCAGGGGTCGCTCTGCGGCCGGGGGTAGGGATAGTGGGCGGGGGTAGCGGGCGGGGA